TGGTTTGAGAGAGAGTTTAAGAAAGCTTAGCACAGTCTCACAAATGAAGCTTCACGCCATGTTTTCTCTCTTTTTATTACTCTCCTCCTTCCTTCAGCCTCTAACTTAGAATTACTCCTACTTTCTTAATCAAATTATTCCCTTAATGACAAATAGATCCAATGGGACTCATAACTTCCCGTTCTGTCTCTACATGAAAAATTTCCACTGTTAGAAATTGAGTGCACATTGCTGTTACTGTGAATATGGCCCCAGAGCAGAAAAATATTTCAATCATATTGCCTCTGCCATTTGTCTAGTATTCCTACACCAAATGCTTTTAAATGTTATTTGCCTACTCACTGTTTTGACTTTTCAGAAATCACACATCAAAATACTCTATTTGTTAACATCACTTAAGAAAAAATTAATTTGTTCTTTTTAAAATTCTCATTTCTTGATCTTAATTTTTCCTAGTATTTTCTAAACCTTTTCTCTTTATTTTTGCTAACATTTGAAATATGATTTTCAATTTGTTGGATTTTTTTAGTGCTTCTGAATTGAATATTTCAAAGATTGAAAATGTCACCAGATTCTCTGAAAATAAAGTCAGAGTGACATCTAGTGGCTCTTCTGGCTCATCAGATAATCATTAAAATAAAGTAACTGTAGACAATAAATTGTTAAATTATAGGTTTGGAAGGTTATTTAGTCGTTCTTAGAAAGAATGCCTCAGAACAATCCCAAATAGACAAAAACCAACCTTATTTTAAAGTTTGTGCAATCTCTCTATGCAAACTTTCAGAGGCAAAGAAAAAAAAATCATGTCTTCATGTGTGTCCTTAGATTAAGGAAAAATTTCCCAGCAGACCTTCCTTCACTTCTAAATGCCAAGAAGTGGATTAAATGCCTCCTCTGAGAACAGTCACTTGGATAGTGGCAGGATACAAAATCAACACACAAAAATCAATAACCTTCCTGTGGGCCAATAATGAAATAGCTGAAGAAGAAATCAAGAAAGTAATACCAATCATGATAGCTACCAAAAAAAATGAAATACCTAGGAGTAAATTTAACGAAGGAGGTAAAAGACCTCTACAATGAAAACTATAAAACACTATAAACAGTCACCTGAAAGAGGAATGAAGCACAAAGATTAAGTTAAACTAATCAGGATCTGCTGGAACTTTCCCTGAAGCACGGGGCTCTAGAGAATATTGTGTTGAATACTCCAACAAAACTGGGGTTCCATGAGAAAGGAAGAAGGGGAAATAGATGTTGGGTATTTACAACATCTGCTTCACCAACTATCATAAGAGTTGTCACGAAACTATCACAGCACAATCCAAGTCTTTTTGGAATGATCAAAATGTTCTGTATCTTGACTGAGGCAATACTTTCACAGTCAAAACTCATCAAACGGTATACTTTAAATGGATGCAGTTTATTGAATGGAAATTATACCTCAACAAAGTTAGGTTTTAAAAACATTTAAAATATTTGTTGTATGATTCCACTTATGTGAAGTACCTGGAGTAGTCATATTCACAGAAACAGCAAGGAGGGTGGTAGTTACAGGGGATGGGAAAGGTGGAAATGAGAGGTTATTGTTTAATGGGTATAAAATTTCAGTTTGAGAAGATGAAAAAGTTCTGGAGATGGATGGTTGGTATTGGCTGAATATGTAAATGTCACTGAACTGCACATTTAGAAATGGTTAAAATGGTAAATTTTATGTTATGTATATTTTACCACAACAAAAAAGTTTTTAAAAAGTACTTGTAAAAGGTAAAAAATATATGTATGTAAAATATGACACTATAATTAATCAGTTAATTATTCATCACTTAACCATGGTGAGCATGGTTGTAAGTAAATATTACAAAACTGCTAAATGCATAAAGAACCAAATAATAACAATACCTGATAGCATATACGTAATATTAGATACTTGGCAGAAGTCATAACTGTTACAGGAATTCTTGTAGTAGGTTATTATAAAAAGACTGGTGGAAATATATCCATGAATTTATATTGTTTACTTCCTAGATGAAAAGTAAAAGACCTTAATAAGAATATAGCTCACATCACATCGAAGGGATACCTGTACTCCCATGTTTATTGCAGCACTATTTACAACAGCCAAGAGTTGGAACCAACCTAAATGCTCATCATCAGATGAATAGATAAGGAAAATGTGGCACATCTACACAATGGAATACTACTCTGCTATAAAAAAGAGAGAAATACTACCATTCGCAACAACATGGATGGACTTAGAGAAAATTATATTACATGAAATAAGCCAGGCACAGAAAGAGATAAATACCACTTGTTCTCACTTATTTGTGGGAGCTAATAAAAATAAATAAGTAAATATACAAACGAATGGGGGTGAGGGGGAAGAAGACACAACAATCACAATTCCTTGAACTTGTTAAGACAAGTGAACAGATATGATGTTGATGGGTGGGAGAGGGAGGGAAGAAAAAGAGGAATTGGTAAAGGGACATAAAAATCAACTATATTGTATATTGATAAATTAAAGTAATAATAATAAAAAAAGAATATAGCTCAGCAACAGCAATAGAATTAAGGTCTTAACAAAAGACGGTTATGATAAAGGGTAAGTTTTCCTTCCTTTGGAAGAAACAGAGTTGGCTTCAAAGTTGCTAGTGACAATGGTGAGTGGTCTCAATGACAGAAACAAAGCCTAGAGGAGGCAATCTGATTTTGTTTTATTAGCTATTTGATTTCTATCTCCTAATTCTATACCTTTTTTCACCTGGCTGTAAAAGAATGTCTTTATTGTCAAAAAAAAAAAAAGAAACAACAACAAAACCTGACTTGTATTTTTAAAAACTCATATTGAGGAGAGATGACTGCAAAGGGACACAGTGAAACTTTTGGGGCAGACAGAAATCTTGATTGGAGTGTTAGTTACTGGGTGTGTACGTTTGTCAAAAGTCATCACTTAAAAAGTACACTTAAAATGAATATTGTGAGGCACACCTCAATAAAGTTAATTTTTAGAACCTCAATCAATTCTAAAGAGTAGAAACATTCCTGCACTTAGAATGGCATATGAAAGTCTTCTGTTAAAACTAGCTTCAAATTAGAAATTGCTCATCTTCTTAGTCCACCCTGCCAGGAAATGTTCCTAGAAATCTAATCACAGTTTCTCTTGGGTATGCTCTTCCTCAGAGAGCCACATGGCTGCTCCCTTCTCTCCTTGAAGGTTTTGCTCCTCTGTCATTACCTGGAGGGGGCCTTCCCTTCTCTGGTGACATTTCCATACATCCCCACACTCCCTCTTCTCCTTTCCTGCTTCATTTGTCTCCATGGCACTCACCTCCTTCTAATACATTAACTCTGTCATGTGATTATGACCTGTGTCCCTCACTAGAATATAAGTTCTTTGAGGGCAGGGTTTTCGTATGTTTTGTTCAGATGTTCCTGGTACATAATTGCTGCTCAGTAAATATCTGTTGAATGAATTCAAGCTTTTTAATTAAATATTTCCCTTCTTGTGTCACTGGTGGAGAGAAGAATGTCAGAATATTAACTACGTGGTTTTTAATATTTTATGCCCTATCTACTTGCAAAAATTCTTGGAGGTGATTTATTTGCCAGTTATTGTCTCCACAATAGATATTGACACTTCTACGTGTCCAGCTCTATACAGACACTGAGGAAACACGGCTACCAAATAAGATGGTAAAATAGAAAATTTTAAAACATAGCCAAGAAGGGAAAATACGTAATGGAAAATCCAGGTTATGTAACATCACATTTAGTTCTGAAGATCTTTGGCAAGAGATTTTTTTTTTTTTTTTTTTTGTGACTGGTAAGGGGATCGTAACCCTTGGCTTGGTGTCGTCCGCACCGCGCTCAGCCGGTAAGCGCACCCGCCATCCCGATATAGGATCCGAACCTGCGGCCTTGGCGCTCCCAGCGCTGCACTCTCCCGAGTGAGCCACGGGGTCCGCCCAGCAAGAGATTTTTTAAAAAAATACAATGGTTAAAGTAATTTTATGAAATCTACACTACACACTAAATTAAAATGCTGTTTCCTAACTACCATTCATTTACAAAACTGATCGTGTTGGGTTAAACAAGATTTTTTTTTGAGCTAAGCAAATTATGAAATTTTAAGTGACCCAACATATACATTATGTATGTCTGAAGTACTTTTCTGATACAATTTTAATAAATGCTTTTGTACTAAGACAAAGGTCTATTCTTTGATTTTATACATAGTTTTTTCTTTTTTTTAATTAGAAAAGCCCCTTGAGATAATTTCTACATCTAACATGTTGCAGATGAAAACAATAATGCTCCAAAAGGTTAAATGACTTATGCTTTGACAGAAAAAAAAAAGATAAAAACAAAATAATTAGAAATTTCTATCTAGCCACAAAACTTAAACCATTTACCTTTTTAATACTTACGGTTTCATTTCCTGTTAAAATGCTTGATTCTATAAGTAATCCTAGAACTCTGCGAGCTAATAAGTGGAATAGTTTAAATTATAGGTATGATAAAAGGTAATCTTTAATGACATTTAATACAATTTTTATTAAAATTTGTAACTATATTATAAATGTAAAATGTATTAATATTTCTAATTAAATTATACATAAAAAGTTATTTGCTGTAGGTGTCTGATAATATGGTTGCTTATGGAATTACACACCACAGGTCGCACCTATCAGATTCCGGCCTTCCTGGATCCCTTCGAGCACTAATTTGGGCAGCACCGAGAAGTGTGAGTGTATAATCATATGATCTGATGCATTCTATATCAGAGATAACGACGGAGAGTGACCGAAGCACTGCGGCGGAACCCACCCTCCGGAGGCCGACGGCTCAGCTATCCTGAGAAGGACACGTTTGAACCTTGTAAAACATTCTGGTCGGAGGAAACAGCATAAGCAAAGGCAGAGCCGCAAAATGTGAATTCTATTAATCTAAGTGGTCAAAGGGGAATTAAGAGGGGGGCGGGGGGGGCGTGTCAGAGGATGAGCCAGGGTGAAGGCTTGGCGGGCGACGCCCCGGCTGGGCCTGACTCCCGGGGCGCAGGTGAGAGAGGTGATTAGCGCGGGTCAGTAAGCAGCGTCTGGGAAGATCACTGCGGGACAACTGTTTGGGGCGTTCGGGTGGCGGCAGGAGCAGGGCGGGAGAACACTTAGGAGGCTGTGGGAAAAGGGAGAGGCTCTGAGGGGTACGGAGCACCACCAGGCCCGAATTCGAGGTCGTTTCTAGGGCAGGACTGGCGGGATGTGATGCCTGGCTGGAAGCAACCAGCCCCCTCAGGGCTCCCAGCGGTGCGGGGCTGGGGAGCTCGGTTGCCGCGGCAACGGCGTCTGAGGGCGGAGTCGTGGGCGCAGGAGTGGCCCCGCCGGGGGCGGGCGAGCCCTTCTCCCCTCCCACTCCCTCCCCTGTGTCGCCCTCTCTCCCCTCCCCCCTCCTTCTCCCCCCCCCCCACACCCCCCCCA